TATCTCTGCTCCTTCATCTATTCCAATAACTCTTAAATCTGGTCTTTTCATGTTATCCATAATTCTTGGATGTTCTGTTCATGGTTTCTTACCATCTTCTCTTCATGGGCAACTCTACTTTTAAGATTATATATTTTTTCTTCATTGTCTGAGGTTCTGTCTTCCAAGTGATCTACTCTGTTGGTGTTGCTTTTTATTGAATTTGTAATTTGGTTTACTGATTCCTTCATTTTATGGATTTCTGCTTGTTTTTTTTTTTTCATGATCCCTAACTCTTTATATCAATTTAACTATATGCAATCTGAACTCCTTTTTGGACATTTTTTCCACTGTCTTATCATTGGCTTCTGTTGTTGATGCATCTTGGTTTGTTTGGGGCTCTTTATTTCCTTATTTTTTTCATGTTGTTAGTGTTTTTTCCCATGTAGAAGTATGGATCTAAGGCAGCATAAAATCTACCCTGTAGACTTATAATGTCTAGGTGTCTGAAGGTTTCCAGAACCTCATGTTTAATGGTGAGTCCAATATCAATGTTACTCAGCATATAGTATGTAGCCTTAAATCTAATAGCTCCCACTAAGGCAACTACTGCTTTCTCGCATTAAACCAAAATGATGAATTTAATAACTATCTATAGTATAAAGAGAAATTTTGTTATAATGGTTTACTATTTCAAAGGGTGGATGAGAGAACAGAATAGTGTAGAATGTAATATTTGTGAGGGAGGAAGAGAGAAGCTAGAAGTAAAAATTCACAGGAAGAGTGCAGAGGAGCTGACAGAGATTGGGTGTTGATTGGAGAGAAGTTGGAAAGAAAATAGCATAAAAGGCACTTGTTCCAAATATGGTAGAGAGATTAGTGAATCAAAAAATAAAATAAATCTTGCTGGAAAGTTGAACTGTCTCTGTCAGTGTTCAACAGTTTGTCAGCTCTGACTCGGACGTCTCTCGGGATCACCAAACCTAGATCAGCCCTTGCAAACCTAGTCTCTAGCCTACAAACCTGGGTTTCAAATACCTCAGGCTCTGCCATTTGTAGTCCTAAGACCTCAATGCTGCTCCTACTTGCAGAGAGACCACCAGGAATACACTCATGCAAAGGAGCAACAGCAAGAGATGCAGCAGCAATACCCAGGCCACTAGCACTCTCAGCAGGAAGACCCCAGGGTCCTCCACACCCACAGGTAACCCAACACTGGACCTGCAGGTCCTGATTGGAGTCCCCAGACAGAGGGCCTTGTGGTGGTAAACCTGCTGGCACCCAGGTCCCAGTCCCTGGCTGGTATCCTAAAATGGGTGCAGCCTCATGCAACCAAACCTGGAATCTCCCCTGCAGCATTCCTCTAGGCCTTGGTAGCAGCACTAGTGGTGGCTGCATTGGCAGTTACAACTGCAGCTGTGGGGGCAGCATCATCAGGTGATCTCCAGGGGTCAGCAGCAATGTGGGCTTCAGTTGCTTCCATAGTTTTTTCTGTGGCAGCAGCACACAGAAAGAACACCTCCAGGTGGTCTCAGTCTAGCAGCAGGGAAATCAGAGGCAACAGCAATGGCGGTGGTGGTGCAGGTGACGGTTGAGTAAAGGAGACTTCCAGTTCAGTGGCAGTGACCATGGAGGTAGCATCAGAATCGACTCAGGGGTAACCAGGCCATTTCCAGAAAAGAGACCTCAGCATTGGCTTCTGCAGCAGCCCAGAAAGAAGACCTCCAGGCGACCTCAGGCTGGCAGCAGTAGAATCAGAGGCAGCAGCATTTGACACATGGGTTTTTATTCTTCCATAAAGAAAAATGAAATTATGGCATTTGCTGGTAAAGGATGGAAATGGAAAATATCATGTTAAGTGAAATAACCCATATCAGAGAGCCAAGCGTCCAATGTTTTCTCTTGTGTGTTGAAGCTTGAGCAAAGTAAGAGGGAAACAGGCAGAGGGTGCCTATGAAAATCAAAAGGGTAGGATAGGTAGGAGGCAGATGGGAAGGAAGGAGGAAGAGGTAAAGAGGGGACTCCAATGTGCACCTGGCCAAATCGTGCTGTGCACATATAGGAATATACCACAGTGACTTTCACTATTGTGTGTATCTATAAAGCAGGAATTAAAACAGGAGGTAAATAGAAGGAAGACCAGTAGAGGAGAGGAAGGGGACAGGGAAAGGAAAGGAGAAGTACTGGGAATTGAAATGGAGCACATTAATTCCATGCATGTATGGTTGTGTCAAATGAATTGCAATATTATGTATGTGATAAAACACTAACAAAAATATGTAAAGCATTCTGGGCTGGGGTTATTGCTCAGTGGTAGAGCGCTCGCTTCACACGTGCGAGGCCCTTATTCGATCCCCAGAACCACATTAAAAATAAATAAACTAAAAAAGCTATTGTGTGCGACTAAGAAATAAATATATATTTTTTTTATTGTTGGTTGTTCAAAACATTACATAGTTCTTGATATATCATATTTCACATTTTGATTCAAGTGGGTTATGAACTCCCATTTTACCCCGTATACAGATTGCAGAATCAATCAGTTACACTTCCATTGATTTACATATTGACATACTCATGTCTGTTGTATTCTGCTGCCTTTCCTATCCTCTACTATCCCCCCTCCCCTCCCCTCCCCTCTTCTCTCTCTACCCCACTACTGTAATTCATTCCTCCCCCTTGTATTATTTTTCCCTTTCCCCTCACTTCCTCTTGTATGTGATTTTGTATAACCCTGACGGTCTCCTTCCATTTCCATGCAATTTCCCTTCTCTCTCCCTTTCCCTCCCACCTCTCATCCTTGTTTAATGTTGGTCTTCTTCTTGTGCTCTTCTTCCCTAGTCTGTTCTTAGTTACTCTCCTTATATCAAAGAAGATATTTGGCATTTGTTTTTTAGGGCTTGGCTAGCTTCGCTTAGCATAATCTGCTCTAATGCCATCCATTTCCCTCCAAATTCTATGATTTTGTCATTTTTTAATGCAGAGTAATACTCCATTGTGTATAAATATTATTCGATCCCCAGAACCACATTAAAAATAAATAAACTAAAAAAGCTATTGTGTGCGACTAAGAAATAAATATTTTTTTTTTAAAAAAAGCATTCTTTGTGTAAAGAACAGGAAAACTGTTTCTTATCAGATAAATCTTTGTGAAACATCCTCTTACCAGAGAAATTTCTTGCAAATGTCTTCTTTTAGGCATAGCTTATCTTTCTTTCTCTAGATATTATCTTTCACAGAACAGGAATTTTAATTTTAATGGGGGGTATTGTATCAATCTCTTTCTCATGGATCATACCTTTAATATAGTATCAAAAAAGTCATAGCCAAATCCAAAGTCATCTAGATTTTCTCCTTGTATCTTGTACAATTTTTCTAGTTTTATGTTTTACATTTAGATCTATGATCCATTTTAAATTAATGTTTGTGAAGGGTATTTTATATGGGTATGTCCAGTGTTCTAACAGTATTTGTGGAAAAGGCTACCTTTTCTCTATTGTGCTGCTGTCAATTCTTTGTCAAAGGTCACTTGACTACATAGTTATTGCTTGGTCTGTAGGGATTTGATACTAATATCTTCCCAGAGACCTACATCTGTGGATGGTCAAAATCTCTTAATTAAAATTCCCTGGTATACAGCCTAAGCTCTCATATACTTTACATCATCTCTTGATTATGTTTAGTGCCTGACAAAATGTAAGCGCTATGTAATTGAAACTGGAGTTTGAAATGAAATCAGATTCTCCACTCTGCTAGTCTGTAGGTCTGCATAAGTTACATGTCTCTGCAACTGATAGAGCCCATTTTAGTATTGCAACTAATCACAGCAGGGAAATGCCTGTCTGGTCAGCTCCATGGGTCAGAGCTGGCAGAACCTGACTCTTCTTCAGTATTACTGAGCAGTGTGTTGTAGCTCTCAATGGCAGATCTCAGCAGCTGGCTGCCATTTTTTTTCCAGGTGCTTATTCACAGATTTGAAGACAAATCCACAGACATTAGAATTTGAGAGTGAAGGTGTAGTATTTCTATAACTGAAAAGAAAAGAAGCAGAACTCTCAGGGGCTGAGAGGGGAACTTGAGAGTAGGTTTCCACTTAAGTGTACTAGTCTAGGGACTTAAATAGCTACTGTATGAGGCATTCATCAATATCTGTGCTAATCAGGTCTTGAAAAAGTGCCAAGGCTCTTGCTTTGGCCTGTGACATTCTGATTAGTTAGGCCTTGAGTCTGTAGTCTTCACTCAGGTCGGCCCTACCTCCTTTTTCCTGCCACCCGGGACAAAGAAGTTGGTTGTAATGTTTGGAATGTTTTCTATAGGTTAGTTTTGTGAAATAGCCTCTTCATTTAAAGTCTCTCTCTCTCTCTCTCTCTCTCTCTCTCTCTCTCTCTCTCTCTTTTCGTATGGGGGGAGTGCATTTTCTTAACCTTCTTTCTGTTTTACTATCTATCCTATCTTATTCATTTTTACTTTTGTACTGTATTGATTTGGACGTAAGCACAAAAAAATACATGCTTAATACAGATGTAATTTTTTCCTATTGTATTTTCTATCCATGGTTGCTTGAATTCACAGATATAGAGGGCCAACTTATGTAGATCTGTATCTGTGCTCTCTACTCTGTTTCATTGATATATTTGGACATGACTTTTGGTGAAACCGTGTTCAACCTTATAAAATAAAAGTATTGTGTCCAACAACAACTAAAAGAATATTAAAAATAAATATAAAATATTCTGGCTGTGTCAGATCAGCTGATAAAAATATTGAGGTTCCACTGTGAATTTAGGTCAATCCTTTATTTTTTTTTATAATTTTTACACCTTTATTTTATTTATTTTTTATGTGGTGCTGAGGATCAATCTCAGCACCTTGCACATGCTAGGCAAGTGCTCTACCACTGAACTACAATCTCAGCCCAGATCAATCTTTCTTTCTTTGTCTTTCTGTGCTGGGAAGTGAACACCTAGGGGCACTTTACCAAGAGCTACATCCCCAATCCTTTAAAATTTTGTTTTTCTTTGCTTTGAAACAGGATCTTGCTAAGTTGCTGAGGTTTGCCTTGACTTCATGATCCTCCAGCCTCTCAATCCCACCCTGGGATTATAGGCTTGTGTCACCATGTCTGATTAAGATCAGTTTTTCACATTAGAGGCTGCCTTTTCCCTCACATCTGAGCTTTTTCTTTTACCTTCTCTATTTTTCTTTTCTTTCTTCTTTCCTCTCCCTCCTTCCTTTGCCTTTTTTTTTCTTCAATGGATTTGACATTTTATTTTAGTTAAATTCATCCTTCTCTGTCTTTAGAGTATCAGAAGACCAAAGTTTGACCCGATCTTATGGAAAGATATTTGTGATTCTTCGTTGCTTTCCCTCATGATATTCCTTTCCTTGTGTGCAGGATACTCAGTACTCACACCCAATCTGATCTCCCAGTGGAAACAAGAGGAGGAACTGCAGACAGTGAACACAGAACTTATCCAGGGCATCTGTACGGAGCAGCACCAGGAAGGCAAGAATCCCTGGGAGAAACTGGCCTGGGAGGAGACAAAAATAAAATAGAAATAAAGCAAAAGTTTGTTTTGTCTGAGGAGGCTCATTATCCACACATGCCTCAGAGGACTATTTTGACTGTTTATGTGTCCTCTCATACTTTCCTTGTTCTTGTCAACGATCTCCATATTTGCTTTTTTAAAGTTTGTATTTGGTATGTGTATTTTATCCTTTCTGTTTTCCTTGCCTAGTAATTTTTAAAAAATTATTAATGAAAAATTTTAATATATTTTCTATACTAATATGAAATATCAAGTTAACAGAAAAATTTTAACATAAACTTTCTTTTTTAAAAAAATTATTCATTTATTTGTTCTAATTTGTTGTACATGATAGCAGAATTCATTTTGATTCATATGAAGCCCAATTTTTCATGTCTCTTGTCCCAATAATTTCTTCTGGTCATGTTACCATCACTTTCATTCTTCATAGAACTATTTTTTATTTTTCAGCACTGGGGAACCCAGGAGTGCTTTACCACTGAGCTATATCCCATACCCTTTTTAATTTTGAGAATGGGTCTAAGTTGTTGAGGCTGTCCTTGAACTTGTGAGCCTCCTATTTCAGCCTCCGAAATAGCTGAGATTACAAGCATGTGTTACCATACTATGGTAATGTTACTATACTATGGTTTCATGGAAATATTTTTTAGTGAACTGTTTTACTTTTGATCCTTGTATCTATTAATAATGAAGTCCTGAAACAGCTACACTGCTCAAAGTCCTTTGCTCATAGGTAACTTTATTTTCTTTTATTTTTTTGTTTCAGGAATTGAGTCTCTACTTAATACTAAGGAATTAGTTGCTCTTCAAGACAACAATGGAGAAAAACCATATGAATGTAAGGAATGTGTAAAGGCCTTCAGTTGTTCCTCCATGTTCAGAGCACATATGAAAATTCATAGTAAAAAGGCAAACTATGAATGTAAGGAATGTGGGAAAACCTTCAGTTGTCCCTCTTCCTTTAAAGCACACGTGAGAGATCACAATGGTAAGGTGCAATATGAATGTAAGGAGTGTGGGAAGGCCTATAGTCATTCCTCATCCCTCACTGAACACCTAAGAACTCACAGTGGAGAAAAGCCTTATGAGTGTAAGGAATGTGGGAAGGCATTTCGACATTCTTCATCCCTTACAATACATGCAAGACTGCATACTGGAGAAAAACCCTTTGAATGTCTGGAGTGTGGAAGAACTTTCCGTACTCCCTCATCCTTTGGGATACATGTGAGAAGCCATACTGGAGAGAAACCATATGAATGTAAGGAATGCGGGAAAACCTTCAGTAGTTCTTCCCATCTTACAGTACATAGAAGAACTCACACTGGAGAGAAACCTTATGAATGTAAAAAATGTGGGAAAGCCTTTATTCGTTGGTCAGGTCTTAGTAGCCACTTGAGAACTCACACTGAGGAAAAACCCTATGAATGTAAGGAATGTGGGAAGGCATTTCGACATTCTTCATACCTTACTATACATGCAAGAATGCACACTGGAGAAAAACCCTTTGAATGTCTGGAGTGTGGAAGAGCTTTCAGTTCTGCCTCATCCTTTCGGAGACATGTGAGAATCCATACTGGAGATAAACCATATGAATGTAAGGAATGTGGGAAAGCCTTCATTAGTTCTTACTATCTTACAGTGCATAGAAGAACTCACACTGGAGAGAAACCTTATGAATGTAAAAAATGTGGGAAAGCCTTTATTCGTTTCTCAGCTCTTAGTATCCACGTGAGATCCCACACTGAGGAAAAACCCTATAAATGTAAGGAATGTGGGAAGGCATTTCGACATTCTTCATCCCTTACTATACATGCAAGACTGCACACCGGAGAAAAACCCTTTGAATGTCTAGAGTGTGGAAGAGCTTTCAGTTCTCCCTCATCCTTTGGGATTCATGTTAGAAGCCATACTGGAGAGAAACCATATGAATGTAAGGAATGTGGGAAAGCCTTCAGTAGTTCTTCCCATCTTACAGTGCATAGAAGAACTCACACTGGAGAGAAACCTTATGAATGTAAAAAATGTGGGAAAGCCTTTGTTTGTTTCTCAGCTCTTAGTATCCATATGAGAACCCACACTGAAGGAAAACCCTATGAATGTAAGGAATGTGGGAAGGCATTTCGACATTCTTCATCCCTGACTATGCATGCTAGAATGCACACTTGAGAAAAACCCTTTGAATGTCTAGAGTGTGGAAGAGCTTTCAGTTCCCCCTCATCCTTTGGGATACATGTGATTAGCCATACTGGAGGAAAACCATATTAATGTAAGGAATGTGTCAAGCCTTTATTTGTACAGCCTACTCTCGAAGATGAAAATTCACACAAGGGACAACATATAAATGTAAGGAGTAAGGGAATCTCTGCAAGAGTTTTTCTGAACTAATGCAGTTTGTGAAGTCTCATTTTGTGAAGTCTCATACTGTAGAGACATTATAAATGTGAGAAAGTAGGAGATTATCACTAATTCTTTTGAATGGTTCAGGACAACTGAGAGAAACCCTGTGTTTGTAAGGTATATGGTAAAGCCTTTTGATTTTGAACATACCTTGTGCCGCAGTCTGGCTGGGCTGTGCAAAGTAGCCGGTGGTGCGGGGGCGACAAGCAACTTGTGAAGGTGGAAACAGCGGGAGGTATATATACCCAAGTAAATACAGACAGCTTATCTCAATTAACATCATCCAGTTACAGCAATCAGTCATTAAGGAATCTTCACCATCTTAGTAATTAGACACAGCTTAACTCAATTAACATCATCTAGATACAGCAGTCAGTCATTAAGGAATCCTCATCCTCTTAATAGCTCGCTGGTGTTACTTCTCAAACCACTCCTCCTGGCAAAGTGTCAGGTGCCATCTTGACTTGCCTTTGCTCTCAACACTTGTATAAGAAAATTCAAAATTTGAGCTAGAAAAGAAGATCAGTGCCTCATTAAAGTGGACTTCTAGATTGTCATTGATTTCCAATGTTTTCTAATAGGAAGATTTAAGGTTGTATTTTTCCCTTTTCAGCTTTTATGACATACTTTTGAGTATGATGTGAGTTTCTTTAGCTGAGATGTAAATGCTATTTCCATTATGAAGTCTTTTGGACTGTTGGGAGATTGTGTGTGTACGTGTGTGTATGCTTCTCCTCTGAGACAGGGTCCAGACCTGTAACTCCTGGACTTCTGCCTTAGCCCCCTAAGTTTGGGAGTACAAGCATATATCATTGAGTCTGGCTCAAATGCATTTTTTTTTTTTTTTTTTTGGCAGGCAGGAAAATGGTGGGGTTTTTTTTTTTTAATTGTTTAAGTTTGAACTCACAGCATGGGCACCTTCTTCTTCTTCTTCTTCTTCTTCTTCTTCTTCGTCTTCGTCTTTGTCTTCACCTTCTTCTTCTTCGTCTTCGTCTTAGTCTTTTCCTTCGTCTTAGTCTTTTCCTTCGCCTTTGTCTGGATACTGAAAGTTGCATACCCAATAATTCCCCCCTTCCAATTAAACTAAGAGTACCAACTGTTTTTGAGAGTATTAGTATTTACTATCAAAAGCTTTTCATGTGTAATAAAAAAGTTTTAGTAAAATTAATTAGTACAAAGGCCTTGAAAGAGTATTGTCTCATGTATTTGCTGTTTTGTGTTTTATTCTTTATGTTTGTTCATGACTGGAATCTTTTTTAATTTAAATTTTTTAAGTTGTTGATGGATCTTTATTTTATTTACTTATATGTAGTGCTGAGAATCGAACCCAGTGTCTCATATACACTAGGTAAGTACTTAACTACTGAGCTACAACCCCAGCCCTCATGGCTGGAATTTTGATCTAATGTTTTAAGTTAATAATGTGTGTTATATTAATTTGGATATAGCTCAGGACTACATTTCCCTTTATCACTTCTAATCCTAGGTGATAGTTTTCTAAAATAACTTTGCAAGAAGTTTGAAAGGCTTTAGGGAAGGAGCTACAATTGCCTGCTTATTAGGACCACTATATAGGTAGACCAATGAGTAGAGACCTTGTGGGCCCCAGTTTTCAGCTTATTTTTCTGAGTATTGAAGGCCCTGATCCATCCTTGCTCAAAACTGAATGTTAAGTGCTTGACCTCAGTCTCCTCAGGGGCTGCACCTCCACAAACATCTCCATTAACTCCTGTATCCTGGCCAAACACAACTTAGATTTCTCTGGCAAGCTCTGGTGTTGCCATTTTGGCATTTTTGCTTCTCATTGCACTTCCTCTGGCACTTTCACTGCCCTGTTAGAGTTGACCAGTTTGCAGAAGGATTGTCATCATGCTCACAGTCCAGTCCCATCCTTCACTCTGCTTATGGGATTGATGTCTATACAAGCCTACCATGGTCCCAAAAGTGAGTAGACCTATGGCTAATGAAGTTATCCTGACTGTAATATAGGCAAGCCTCGGATAGGTGTCATCCTATTTTGGTAGAGGAGGATTTATATTTGATACCTTCAGACAGGGAAGATTTTACTGCCTTTATGTGAGAAGAGGAATGCTATGGGCTGTTTCAGGTACATTTTGCTACCTCTTCCCCTTTTTAAAAACATTGTATTTTAAGGGGTGGTTCTGTGGCTCAGTGGTAGAGAATTTGCCTAGCATGTGTTTGATTCTCAGCATGGCATATAAACAAATGAATAAAAGGAAGGTCTATTAACAACTAAAAATTTTTTAAAAAATTATATTTTATCTCTTAAAAGCATAACTATAGCATTTCCCTTAATCACTTTTTACTGTTTATCAAGGTATACATACACTAATGTGCAAGCTGTGTACAGCTTGATGTAATTTCCCATAGATGTATAAATCCTGGTGGACACATTTCCAGGATTCCAGGAAATTCATTTATCTCTTTCTCAATAATCTCTCCACAGAGGAAATTGGATTTTGACTCTTATTACGCTTGATTTGGTGTGCTTTTTCTGACTTTTCAAGTAAATGTTAAAACTACAACATGTACTGTGACATGTTTGGCTTCTTTTACTCAACATAATGTCTGGTTTGTCAGTTGGTCTTATTTCTCTTGGTATATGCTATATGTGGGGAATGCAATTACTGAATGATAGGGTAGACTTCAAGTGTAGTTTTGGTAGATACTTTAGATTTTCAAAAATGTTGGTTCCACCAGTAAGTCCCCAACAGTGCATGTGAGTGTTGGCTATTCTGCATACTGTGCCCACACTTTCTAACTTTAGCTTTTCAGCAGAGTGTGTGGTGGTATGTTTTTTTGTTGTTGTTGTTGTTGAAATATGCATTTTCCTGATATGTCATGATTTTGGGTACTTTTTGGTGTGCTTATTGGTTATTTGTATATCTTTATTAGGCTACCTTGTGAAGCATTTCACCTATTTTTCTTTTCTTTTTTTCTTTTGAAGTGTTTCCTTGCTGCTAAAAAGTCCTTGGCTGTAACTAAGCTTCAATCTAGATCCTGAGGCTAAAAGATGTGCATTTATCTGTCTCCATGTCTTGGCTGTGCATCCTTTTGCATTGTCTTTTCTTCCAGCTGGGATGTTTTCTTCACAGTAGGCTTCAGAAGTTCTGTGCTGCTTTCCTCCCAAGATAATGCTTCAGGGAGAAGAGTGACATCTTTTTTGAACAGTTCCAATATAATCATCAAAATGAATCTGAGGAAGGGAGGGGGGATACTTGAACAACTAATAATAAAAAAATGAAATCTGATTAATGGCTTATTTTGTCCACCATGGCTAGGGGAATGTTAATACTCTGATTTGTTTAGGACCAACTCCCAGTTTCTCATTGAGAAACTGAGGTTAGAATTTGTTCCCCAAATCATAGAACCCTGGTAGTTATGATGCACACGGAGAGGAGAGAGTGGAAGCTGTGAGCAGGTGGGGCTCAAACTAGGGGCAATATTGCATCTTATGCTGACTTCGGGAAATACAAAGTCTGGGAACTTACCCAGTGTTTGTTAGTTCCTAGAAATTGTTTTTGAATGTTAGATGCCATATGACTTTTTAGATTGCTAAAAATTGCTCTCACTCTTTACAGAACATAAAAATAAGTAGAGATCTGAGTATTCTTTATGAGTATTTGCCTAGACCAAGATACTGAATATATTTTATGTTTTCTTTAGGACCTTTCATTGTTTGACTTCTTGCATTCAGGTTCGTCATCCATTTCAAGTATTTTTTTGTTTGATAGGGTGTGAGGTAGGATGCAGATGTATATATATGTACAGATTTATCCACTAGATCATGTTTTCCCTTAGCTTACGTAAGCAATCTATGTCTTTTGGTTTGTTTGTCTTTCCTTGGAAAAGCACCATACTATCTTAATTTGTATTGCTTTGTAGTATTTTTGGAAATCTAGTAATAAATTCTCATTTTAGAGTTTATTAATTTTTATAAAAATATTCAGGGTCCATTTTATAGAATAACTTAAGAAAAATTGAGAACTTAAGACAGAATTGCATCTTTCAATTAATGAACATGATGCAACAATCCATTTACCTAGGTTGTCTTTAACTGTTCTGAAGGTGTTCTGTAGCTTAATTGTAGAGGTCTTGAATGCCTTTGTTTAATTTATTTCTAGGTATGTGGTGTGTTTTGCTTTGTAAATTTTTTTTATTTTTGGATTAGTACATACCTTTTTTATTTTTAATTTTTGGATTAGTACATACCTTTGCAATATCTTTTTCTTACATCAGCTTTATAGCTTGTGACATAAATTTAACTCACTCAAGTAATTCTCACCACGCTTCTCCATCTTTTATTTATTTTTCTTGTCTTATTTAATGAATAGAGGTCATGAAATTGAATATCTTTTCCTTGTTCCTGTATGAAAGAGTATTCAACATCTCACCATTAAATATAATGCTACTTGTAAATTTTCATAGATAACTTTTATCAAATTAAGTGGATTCTGTTTTGTTCCTGGCTTGTCAAATGTTTTTAAAAATCACAAATTGATATTGGATTTTATCCAGTGCCTTTTCTGCATGTATCAGGGTCTTTAAAAAATACTTAATTCTGTTAACAAAATGAACTATACATTCTTTGATTTTCAGATGGTAGAACAACATGTATTACTGGAATAAATTAAATTTGTACATATTGGTCTATTAGCCTTTTCATTTTGCTAGATTCAACATGCTACTTTAAAAAATTATGTCTGTATTTATATTGGTGTTTGTTTTGTGATCTATCTATCTATCTATCTATCTATGATTTTTTTCTTGGTTTTTGTTCATTTTTTTGATACTGGGGATTGAAGCCAGGGGAAATCTACCACTGAGGCACATATCCAGCCCTTTTTATTTCGAGTCGGGTCTTGCTAAGTTGCTCAGGCTGGCCTTCAACTTACAATTCTTTCTCAGGCTCCCCAGTTGCTGGAATTACAGGTGTGTGCCCCTGTGCTTGGTTGCCCCTCTTTTTTAAAATTTCCTTTTTCTTTATTTTATTCTTCTTCAACCTCCTGTTGGCCCAGTATTCTAGTTTCTTACATGGAAAAAACATCTTTTGGAATCATGCCCCTGGTTATTGGAAATTATTGGACTTTGCCTCACCCCAGAAAACCAATAAAAGTTTCCACATCTTGCCTTGGTGAAACAGCCCAATTCCACAATCAGTGCTGTCCACCTTTGATTAAGCCCTAATTAAAGGCTTGCCTCTGTGTGCCCACAATAATGGACTTGGTGTCATTCCTATTTCCAAGCCTGAAGATTCTGTCTCCAATAACAAAGGCATTCCCTTGTCCCCCCAGACTGATATTTAACTGGATCATGCCCAGTTCTCACTCTTCCAAAATTGAAGCTGGTGGTATTGAAGATGGAAAAATTAGTTCATCCCATAGGTGTCTGGTGCTGAAGAAGTTCTAGAGCCTCATCTGTAAGTACTGGCCTCACAATAGCTGTGCTGCCTGAGACTGGGTGACTGGTGGTAGAAATGGACCCCAAGACAGACACTAAGCTGGGT